GCCACTATCTTCCTCCAGTCATACTTACTGACTGGAATCTGAGCCCTTTCTTTCATACCTGATCTCGTCCTCACAATCTGGTTGGACAGTGATCTGAGGCCTGAAACTGCTCTTGGTTTTCACCATCGTTTTAGAAGTTAACATCAACCAGCATTTATGAAGATTCTTAAATTTCTAGCAGATGTGCAGAATCCAGAAGTGTGTTGGAGTTTACTGTTAGTAAAGAGCTGCAGGCTCAACCAATAACATTTAAAATATACTGCATCCCCCAAAATATTCTTGTGTTGTTCACTCCACTGCTTGTCAACTTTCACAGAATCATCAGAGAGTGCAGCTCAAATTTGTTTCGCCACTGTTGTGGTAACATAGTCCCTTCCTCACTCCCTTTGCCTCGCCCCCTCTTTTCCTATTTTCAGGTCTCGGCTGAAGACCTTTCTTTTCGACCGCGCCTTTGGTCACCTTCCTCCCCCTGGCTCGGCCCCGGGATCCGTTATTGAAATGTTCTTGAAACCACCTCCTCATCCCAAATGTCTACTGCATGATGATCCTGCTGTGAAAATAGCTGTGATTTTCCCATGGATCATTACACAAAATTAGAAGGTCTTGGCATTATTACTTCAACAGGTGCTCTGTAAAGTGACTATTTCTTTTAGTCATATGTATCTGCTAATAAGACTGTACTTTGTGAAAGAAACTTATTGTAATCTGTAGGTTTAGGCATTTTGCCAGGAGAGCAATAAAAACTGGTCCCTGGATATGACTATTGTTCTCAGTGCAATTCTTATATTAACCAATAACGTTCTCTGGGAACAAAACCTAATTTATTTTTTTTAAAACAATCAGTTTCATAAATGCTGAGTTGAATAACCATTATTTCAGCAGTCAACAATCTGTGCTCAAAGTCAAGCTACAAGCTTTTTAATGAGCAGAATCTCATTTCTATTCTGTGCTGCTCTCCGAGCATCCCTGACTAATTATAGTATGCCTTCTCAGGAGCTTGATAAATTGATTCTATTTCGTTCATTGACTCACTTATGCTCCGGTAAAATTACTATTATGGTACTTGAATACCTGATAGCGACACTACCAAAATGAGCCGTCTCGACTCCTATTAATGGCTAAGATCTCTGTGGTGTGATTTACTAAAACAGAGCAAGAAACATTACAAGTGCCAATATACATCTTTTCTATGACTTTGTGCCATCTTGTCAAGTGTTAGGACTAAAAAGCTTTTGCTTTAATGTGATATGCTAATGTTTTCAAAAACAATTCAAATCCTTTCAAGTTGCTGTCGCCAAGTATACTCAGACTTGGTAAAGGGGTTTAAAATGCAGCGAATTCTAAATAAAGGCATTTGGATCAGAATGCCTAAACCTGCACGTTACTTCAACGTTTTTGTTTTGAAAAGTAGGATTTTCTGAGGAGATGCTCATGACTCAAAGAAAGAACGACACTTTAACAAGTGAGAAAATGAACGATATGTAATATTGAATCTAATTAGTCCTAAAATTAACATATATGATCAACAACTGAAAGGTGCATTATTGCTCACAACAACTTGCACTTATATAGCACTTTTTCGAACATAGAAAAACAGGAATAGGAGGGGGCCATCAAGCAGTTTCAGCAGTTTACTAGATCTTGGCAATACTTTTAATTCCAATGCTCTGCCATTTCGCGATATCCTTTAATATCCCTATCACCCAACTATTTGTCTATCTCTCTTACAATCATTCATACAGGAACATAGGAAGGCTATACATGTAGGATGTATTGAAGTCCTTTACAGCAATGTTGTAGGTCATGAAGCAGGGTGGGAAGAAGCGGGTGTTTGAGGTTGTTGACCAATAATATTAATATTCCTCTTATTCCCTGACCCGCATATTTGGTGGAAACATCATTTTGAAAGGCCTTTATTTTAATAATAATAATCTTTACATTTGGTACAGTGCTTTTCATATCAGGAGGATGCCCAAAAGTGTTTTACAGAATATACAGTAAAGTGGTGTGACTGTGTGCGTTTTGTACACGGGAGCCTATTTTGTGCACAGCTAGGTCCCACAAACAACCATGAAGTGAATAATCAGTTTTATCTGGGGAATTGTTGGTCAGGACATTTCGATTAATGCCATGGGATCTTTAACATCCACCTGAACAGACAGACGAAACTTTGGTTTAACATCTCATCTGAAGGACTGTGGAGTCTACTCCAGACTGTAAAACATCATTTTAAATTTAATATTAGTTTTGAATCTTAATTTTAACTGGGGAAACAGAAATCAATTGTTCCTACCCACGGCTGTGAATATGTTCGGGCCATCATCCTCAGTGATTTTTAAAAGAAACTATTGATCAGGAGCCCAAAATGTGCAGGAAAAATACTTATAAAAAATGTACGCAACAGAAACAAGCCACTCGGCCCAACCGGACTGTGCCAGCATTTATACACATGAGTCTCCACCCGTTCTTTTACTCCCTCCCATATCCTTCTATTTCCTTCTCCCTCATGTGAAGGTATAGCTTTCTCTTGAATGGATCTATACTAACTGATTTAACCGCTGCTTTAAGCAACGAGTTACACAATCTCGCCATATTCTAAGCAAAGTAATTCCTCCTATATTCTCTTTTATAGAGAAACATATACTTGTGTCCCCTGATTACAGACTCCCCCAACCAATGGAAACAGCCTATTTATATGCTAACCTTATTGAATCCTTTTATAATTAACTTTATTAATCCCTCTGCAAAGAGTAATCCACAATTTAAGTACACCATAATGAAAAGTTAATACCTAACAGCCTCATCCTCCTGCCCCGCGTCCCCTACCAACCCCCCACCATTGCATCTCCTTCACCCCCGCCCCCTCCAGTCCTACCATGGCCCCCACCCTACATTCCTTTGCCCCCATCTCTCCTTCCTCTCATCCTCCATCATTCTGATGAAACCCATCACCTGCTGCCTTGGCCCGCTCCCCACCCAGCTGCTGATCACCCAACTCCCCCCTCCTCTGCCCACTGCTGGCAGACACCATTAATCAGCCCCTCTCCTCAGAATTAGTTCCACTCCCCCTCAAAACCGACGTCATCATCCCCCACCTTACAAAAATCTTCCAACCTCGGGCACGACAGCCCTATCTCAAAACTGCCCTTCCCGGCCAAAGTTTTGAAACATATTGTTGCCAACCAACTTCGGGCACATCTCTTCCTCCACCCCCTACTCGAACCCCTCCAGTCCGGTTTCCACCCTTCCCACAGTACAGATAGCGCTCGTGAAAGTCACTAACGATATCCTCTCTATCTGTGACCAGGGCTCCCTCTGCCTCCTTGTCCTCCTGGACCTCTCCACCGAGTTCGACACAGTTGATCACGCCATCCTCCTCCACTACCATCTGTCATCCACCTCAGTGGGACTACACTCATTTGGTTCAAGTCCTACTTTACAAACCGCCAGCACTACGTTTCTGCAAATGGTTCTTCTTGCCCCCTCCCAGCACCTGTGGGGTACCCCAAGGCTCCATCCTTGGCCCCCTTCTCTTCCTCATCTATATACTTCCTCTCAGTGATGTCATCCGCAGACACAGGGTTAACTTCCCCATGTATGGGGATGACACTCAACTTTACTTCTCCTCCTCCAGTTGCGACCTCAAGGCTTGGATGAGCCCAAATTTCTTGCAGTTAAACGTCAACAAGATGGAAACCATACTCTTTGGCTCCCATTCTGTCCTGCGGTTCCGACCTCCTCAACCTACCCGACCTGTCCGTAAAACTCTCTGAACCCATGCGCAACTTAGGTGTCAGGTTCGATCCCCAGTTATCCTTCCTCGCCCACATTCGGTCCCTGACCAGGAATGCTTTCCTCCACATTGCCTGTCTCCAACAACACTTCACTCCACAAGTTGCCGAAACCCTTGTCCACGCCTTCATCACCTCTCGGTTGGACTACACTAATGCCCTCCTCGACTGTTCACAAAATTCAACTCATTCAAAACTCCGCCACCTGCATGGAGGACGCTATATAAATGCAAGTTGTTGTTGTATGCTCGAGTGATGAGCTTCAGTTGCTTCGCTTATAGTTTGAGAATTTAGAGCACAACTTTTCTTCCTTTCTGAAATCACCAATATGTCAATGTCACTGTGAGGATTAAGATGCCCAAAATTTCACCAAATCCTCCCAATGTCATCCAAATAGTGATCTGTTTAAGGCTAGAATTACTTATTTTATCTTTTAGATAAATGCCCTCAAGACGCTACCTTATATTTGATTATCTATATTGATAACAGCTTCACATTGGCCAGAAGCCCTCAGCGAAGGATCAATAATCACATTCAAATCCTTTTCCTTCTCTGGCTCTGCTGATATGCACTGCTTATTCAATTCATCTTTAATCTCGTAGGTTCCAATATGCATTGCCTTACACTGAGCTATTTTAAAACCTATTACTCCTGAACCCATCTGCTTAACTAGCCAGATCGTCATGTTATTACTGTATTAGTCATCCTCCAATACAGCTAAGTCTGATAAATAACCTTTCTGGATCTTGCACCCACAAAATATACAGTCAATTCACTTTACAGTATATTCTGTGAAGCACTTTGAGATGTCTCAAAGAAATGATAAGGCGCGATATCAAATGCAAAGATTATTATTACCTGAAAGTGATCATGGCGTGTAGACTCCAATGCAAATTGCTTCATGATTATGTGTCTCTACCTGATTTAATTCAATATTCTTTGTGACAAATTTAGGGCAATATCCATCTTGTTAAACCAAGTTGTACTCATGCCTACACCTAGGTCAAAATAATTTGCAGTTTAAGTTCTAAATATTGTGCATTAAAAATGAGACAATGCCAATACATGGATCATCTGTGACAACTTATGATGTGTTTAGTATACAAACTACAGTAGTTTGGGAAATTGTAGAATATTTAGTTGCAAAATGGCAATAAATTCATCTTTTTTTCCATCCTTCACACTGAAAGTCATTTTGTTGCTAATTACCTTGACTTTTTCTATATGGTCCTGCAGAGAGTCAATCAGCAGGTCTCCCACAGGTTGCCACGAGTCTCGGATAGATTCAGCCTTGCGCAGTTTGAGGTTCAGTTCATCCATAGCATCCTGCAACTCCAGAAGTCTTTCCAGGGCTTCATCCAAACGCTTCTGCCAATCAACAGAGCGAATGCTCAGCTTCTCCCACTCTATTTTCACGTCCTCCGACTGCTTTTGAATGACTCTAGCAACACTCTGGGCATTCTCTTCTGGTGTTTTTTCTGTACGAAAAAGTAACGGAAAAATAATTCTGTAAAATGCACAAACTGCAAATAATTCACAATGTATATTCTCCATTCTTTTCGAATAAGATGTTATTGTTAGCATTACTGATTACTGGTTTGTATGCATTCATTTTGTTACTGTTCTTCGTTGCTCTTTGTGTGTTCAATGTTTACAATAAAATAAAACACAATGTATGAAAGGAACTGTAGTAATAAATAATAACAGTAGTAGTAAATAATAATAATCCTTGTATTTAATATAGCGCCTTATCTCACCTTTGAGACTCTCAAAGCGCTTCATAGATTATACAGTTAAGTCAATTGACTCTATATATTGTGGGTGAAATGTGGCATCCAATTGGGCATCGAACCCAGGTCTCTCACTTGCGAGGTGAGAGCTCTAACCACTGAGCTACAGAACTCATGGTCGTGGTAATATAATTGATATAAAATAATGCCACAAAAACCTTTCCTCTTCGAATAAATCAAAGATACTCTAGTGTTTGTGATCAAGGGTGTATAATTTTAAAATTCACAGGCCTGGCTCAGGTGGATGGGGAATTATTTCCATTGGAATGGTATAAATATTGTAAGCACCATCTGGAGCTGACAATTTGTTTTTGAAGGAATTATTAAAATGAGATCTTGGCGCAATGAAAAACACCGCAACACGATGACAGTGTATGAATGGTATTGAGACTAGGACTCTGAAATCTTTTCACCTATGGAGGGGCTCAACCAATCTATTTCATCACCATCATCTAATCATCTAAACCCAAATCGCAGTAGGAACTTTAAGAAAACTCCAAGCTATCCTTACTCTTTAAATGTAATATGTTTTCATTTATTCTCATCCTTTTCTGAATTTTCTTTTTAGGTTTTGCTGTTGGAATTTAGATCCATTGCGCCAACACCAGGAAGGGGGGAAAGAGGGGAGCGTTCACACTTGAAACCATTGGATAATTATCAACTGAAGTGTTGTGTTTCCTATCAGATTAGGAGTGGAGAAATTCCACCTGGCTCCAGTTTTACTCTCCTTATGTAGTGTATCAGAGTATCCTGAAGTTGGCATATTCTTAAAAACAGGCTTAATTTTGAGCTGTTTTTCTTTGCAAGTTATGTTAAGAGCTGGAGCAAAATGGATTCAAAATTAACACTTGATCGTCTAAACTCGTAGGCAAGTATTTATAAATTGAAAACATTTTATGAAATAAAGAAGTTGCCTATTTAGGCAAAATATAATGCAGGATCTGCCTTGATAAAAGCAGGCGTAACTATCAAAAAGGATAATTAGAGGATTAGGATAGCAAGTTCTTTCATCCAATTGACCGAGAGAGAATATCCCCAGTTGATACAGTTTCAGCTGATCAGTTTTCAGCTGCTCTTGAAGAGACAACATATTTCCATTAGCCAACCGGCGCTTTACATTCCAGGTTATAGTAAATACCTTTTGTTAGCGGAAAGAGACTTTCTGGTCCTTCTACGGGCTGGTCTGCTAAGAACAGACGCACTGTGTCAAGTGCACTCATGATCACTGGTTCCTTCGACTTCAACTCCCTCTTGAAGCTCTTAAAAAAAGCAACATGGCAAATTGTTTGTGTCCATCTGTAATCTCTAAAATAAGCATTCAAAATAAATCAGCCAGAAGCAGAGAAGTCATATGAAAATCACATAAGTTCTGTTCAAACACATTGGAGTTATTTTGATCAGGCAATCCATGCAGCAGATTTATGTTGGATACTCATTAAGACAATAAGGACCAATTGACTAGGAGCAATGGAAGGGATCAGGAAGTTGAAAAGCAGGAAACAGGGAGAACTGAGTAGGGAGTTTTTGGTGGGACTGTTTGATTTTTTAACTTGTGAGCTGAAATAAAAGAGTGTTCTACACATTGTTTGTTGCGAACATAACAATTTATTGATTTAGTCTAACCACAACTCTCTTCAGTTTGGTATGTTTTGTAACTTATCTCTCTGCTTATAAATAACTCTATTTGATGGAGTCTTGGGAACAAAACAGATGGAATGGGTTATACACTCCAGTATCATTACAACAACAAAATGCGTTCATATAGCACCTTTCATGTTGGGAGGATGTCTCAAGTCTGAAAGCACTGGACTACACAAGTAACTACACAAACCACTTAACTAAAATTATCTTTCCAATATCAATACAAAAGAAAAGTAAATGAAATGGTTGAATTTCATTTCACCCATGCCTTGGCATGGTCAACAAATATTACTCTGTACTGCTGTGTGCTACTCAAAAATGGTGTATGGCAGATTACTTTCATCCCCTACTTGTGTTGAATTTATATTGGAAAGTGACGGATTTCCTGTGCCATGCTCTATATTTGGATGGAGAAGGTAAAACATTCCTTATGTCACATTCTTCAAGGAGATGAAGGTGTAAGGCTCGTGTTTTGGTATACATCAGGAACAGGCTTCACTAATTGGCCAAGACTCCCACTCTTGATTCATATCCATCTAACTGTGTTTGAAGTGCACATATGTGGACAGACCTAGTTACAATGTGTGCTTCTCATTGTCCGTAGCTCACATCTGAAGGGATGGGCAATTTGATGAGGCAATGAAGTGCTGACTCTGGAATGCTAACTGAGCCACATCTGTCAGTCACATTACCACCTACTTGTACGAAACCATGACGCCTTCATAACAACGTGACATTTTGTAAATGTTGTTGATACTATTTTGTTATCCAAATGAAAGTTTTACAAACTTACTATAACCCAGCCACTGAGGAAAATCTCAGGCAAAAGTAACATGGTGCAAAGTGAACAGGGTTTATCCTTTCTGACTGAGAGTTCAGTCTTACTGCGATCTGAACAAATTTGTAGGTAACTGGCAATAATTTTAGTCAAAGATGAACTGGTGTCAGTCAGCAAAGCGAACAGTAGCTATGGGCTCTCAACTATGGAGATAGTTATTGTTAAAAATCTGTCTACATTCTGTGCCAGCATTCTAAAGAAATTACTTTTTAGCTGATTCACATTTTAATTAAGATCTTTTAATTTTTCCAAGGCCTTGCCAGTTGACTTATTGCGATCAGCATGGAGCATGTACTTTTCTTTGTATATTTTACCTAGTCATTAAAAAGCAATTTCCAAGATGGCTTGTTCAGCTATTTTCAATTTGCATGCATTGGTAAACAAAAAAGTGGCAAGAATTTCACTCATAAGCAGAGCAAGCAAGTAAGCAACAAAGGTGCATCTGTGCTATTTTTGACTAAACAGGAAATACAACAACCACAACAAGATTGCATTTATAGAGCACCTTTTGCGTCGGGAGGACGTCCCAAGGAGCTGGACAGTTGGGTCGGGACCTGAGCAGGGGGGAAATGGTGAGGATGAGAGGATGGAATGGAGGGAGCGAGGAGGGGATAGAGAGTCGAGAGGGGAGGTGAAGGCATGGTTGAAGAGAAAGGTCTTGAGACCGGCCTTGAAGGAGGAAAGGGAGGAAGCAAGGCGAAGGCACTGGGGGATGGAGTTCCAGAGCCTAGGGGCTGAGATGGTAGGGCGGTTAGGGCGGGGGGTGTGCAGCAGACTGGAGCCAGAGGAACGGAGGGTGCGGGCAGATAAGTAGGGGGATAATAGGTCGGAGAGGTAGGAGGGAGCAAGGCCGTGAATAAACTGCTCTCAGCATTTCTTGGGACCACCCTAGAGGTTCTGCATTAGAGGATTGAATTTTTTTTGTAGTAAGCAAAACACAAATATGGTTTTCATCATTGAAGACAGTACTTCCAAATATTGTTATGATAATATTATACTGAGAGAATTTATGAAGAATAAGGTTTCCAAGACCATGTTCGGTATTCACAATATTCATTAATATACTGAAAAATGGCTCCTCTTTCAAAATAACGGTGGAAAAAAGTAAATTCCTCAAAACAGTCTGCTCATGCTTGCATGCACGCATCCATAGAACCAGTAATATCCTCTATGGGAAGAGCCCAAAACAATGAAAATAATTTCCCTTACTCTGTGTACATCGTTCTGCTGTTGTACTGCAGTAACATCACCACCAACAGGCATTCGGCTCTTCAGCTCATCGTTCTTTAAGTTGAGCCACACCAGGAGCTCCTGTAGGGAGATCTGGAGTCGCTTCCACTGTTCAGCACTTGCCTCCAAACAGGCTCTAAAAGTTGAAACAAAAAGTACTTCAGCTTTTCAATCACACAAATCACTGCATCTCTTAATTGTACTCCAGTGCCTTACTGAAGTGTTCTTACAAAAATAATCCCTGCATTTTCCCTGCATCGTGCCTTTCTCGTCAAGAGTATATCTCAAAGCTCTTCTCAGAATTTTCTGTAATGATATATATTTTGTAGAGGCAGCAGTTAATTTGTGCACCACAATGTCCTACAGACAGCGGTGAAATGAATGAGAACTTCTCCTCTTTTTGAATAGTGCCATGGGATCTTTAACATCCACCTGAGTAGGTAGATGGAACTTTGGTTTATCAACATCTCATCTGAAGGAGGGCACCTCTAGCAATCAGTACTCCCCAGCGCTGTATTGGAGGTTACAGATTGTGAGCTCAGAGTCCTGATGTGGAGCTTTAACCCAATCCTTCTGATTCAGAGCACTATCCACTGCGCCAAGCTGACACCTTATTCCACAAGGTGCAAGTTGAATTGATACCTATATGCATTTCTAAGTCACCCCCACCAAGTAACCAGCTACAAAAATGGGTGTTTCTGCAATAGAGCCCCAGCACAGCATTCGAATGGCTCATCAACAACAACAACTTGCATTTATATAGCGCCTTTCACACTTGGTAGTGTCTTCGAGTGCTTTGGATGAGATAATCAAGGCCGTTGCTACCATTGGAATTGCACTCCAGCAATAGTCAGCATTCTCATAAGAGGAGTGAAAAGAGTGATTTAAAAAATAATCTGCACAAACAGCACATCACAATACTTTCCCACACCAGGCTCCGTGACCCTATCACCCCCATCCTGATCCGACTCCATTGGCTTCCCATTACACAGAGGCTACAGTTCAAGTTCCTGGTCCTCACCTTCAAACCCCTCCGTGGACTCGCTCCCCCCTATCGCTGTGACCTTCTAACCCCCTACCAACCTGCCCACTCCTTCCGTTCAGCAGGCCTGCTTCATATCTCCCTCCGCTTCCGCCCCAGCATTGGCAGTCGGGCCTTCTGCCACTCTGCCCTCACCCTCTGGAACTCCACTCCACAGTCCCTCTACCTCGCCCCTAGCCTTGGCTCCTTCAAGACCCGTCTCAAGATCCTCTTCTTCAATCGTGTCTTCAGTCACCCTCCTTCTCCACTGCCATCCACCCTCCCCAATCCCGACCCCCAGCTCAGATCCGAAACACTGATTTTCCAGCACCTTGGAAAATCCTCCCGATGTGAAAGGCGCTATATAAATGTAATTTTGTTGTTGACACACAAATCTACTCCTCCAGCTGCAACTCCCAGCTGATGTCCTGTCAGCTTGTTTGATGGACATCAAGGTCTGGATGAGCACAAATTTCCTGAATGTCGGCAAGACAGAAGCCTTACTGTTTGGCTCCCGTCAAAGTTTTCTCCACTGCGGGTCTGAACTCCTCAACCTCTCCAAGCTCTCCCTCAGCCTCACTGAACCCGTGTGCAACTAAAGCATCAGGTTCGATCTCCAGCTCTCCTTTCTAACCCACATCCGTTCCCTGACTAGAGCCGTTTGTTTCCAGCTCCGTCACATTGCCCGTCTCCGTCCGTACCTCACAACCAATGCAGCTGAAACCTTCGTCTACGCCTTCATCACTTCTTGGCTGGACTATTCCAATGCTCTCCTGGCTGGTCTCCCCAGCTCCGCCAAACACAAAATCCAATTAATTCAAAACTTTGCCGCCCTGATACTCATCTTCAAGAAACTGTGTACCCCCATCACTCCAGTCATTGATAGGCTCCACTGGCTTCCAATCACCGAACAGATAGATTTCAAGATCCTCTCACTCATTTTCAAATCGTTTAATTCCCTTGCACCTCCCTATACAACCTGCTTGCCCCCCACTCCACTACCCGCTGCCTCCGCTCAGCTGGCTCTGACTTCCTGTTTATTCCTCGTCCCCTCCGCTCCACCATTGGTGGCTGTGCCTTCAGCTACTATGCCCCCAAAATCTAGAATTCCCTCCCCCCCATCTTCAAATCCCGCCTAAGGACCTTCCTTTTTGATCAAAGCTTATGGTCACCTCCCCCTCCTTCTCCCTCGTTGTCAGACTCCACCTCTGTCAAGTGCTCCAGGATGCTACCCCGAGTGAAGGGTCTTTATAAATGCAAGTTGTTGTTTTATTGAGAGGTGAGCATTTTGTGTTCCCTCTCCCTCACACCTGAAACCGTCCTCAATACCAACTTTCTATATTTGTGCTTTTGTCTTCTGGTTTACAGTTTTGACTGTCTGTTTGCTCGACCACACTCACTGAAAGCCACAATCCACAAACCAGAAGAGGAAAAGTATCCTATTTCAGGGTGGTGGCATTGAGAGAGCTGATTGTGGGTATCAGGTGTGGGTGGGGGGAAAGGAGGGGGAGGAGATGGGAAAGATAATAATAATAATCCTTGCATTTGATATAGCGCTTTTCACGTCAGGAGGACGTCCCAAAGCGCTTCACAGAACACACTGTAAAGTGAATTGACTGTATATTTGTGGGCGAACGCGGCAGCCAATTGCGCACAGCAATGTCCCACAAACAGTCGTAGATTGAAAATGACCAATTTATTATTGTTTTGTTTTGGAGGGATTATTATTAGGCGTGTGGAGTAAGGAAACTTGCCCAAGGTTTCGCCCTGCCTGGAATTGAACTCAGGTCTCTTGCTTGCAAAGCGAGTGCTCTAACCACTGAGCTACAGGACTCCTATTTGATATCTTTGATGCTTAAGGAATCTGTTTATCTTGACCACAAGTTAGATCCCAATGTTTCATATACTCCAAAGATTAATAATTTACAAGTCAAAGTACTAAAAGTACTGTTGAAAACCGCATACCCAGTAATTTAATCTGATCAATACATGGAGAGCTTCATAGGATTTTTGCTCTTTACAGTTAAAACTTGTACAATTCTAAATTGAAAAAAGACAAGCATACCCTACTACAGAGTTGAAGATTAAAGTATTATGGGGCACAATATCTCTAGAAAATTGACCTACTCACTGAGATTGAGACAGCATGAGATTTAGAAAGAGTGGTGTCCTCTCTAAATTTCTGTAAACAAGCAACTAATCCGATGTCACCTCCAAGTGATGCTCAATGCCCTTCAATCTTTAAACAATGGCTTCAACACTGTTCATATGCAGTGTGTGTAGATGGGTATTTCTATGTTTGTTACTGATATATCTTAACCATGTCTTCATACATCAGGGTGAACTAAAAATAACTGGACAACTGGATTTTTATATATATTCTATATATATATTAAAATATATACTGCTATCATTGATCAAAATAATATAAACCTGCTGCAATGTCTTGAAATAAAATGTGAACACAATTGGGATCTGCAGTCTAAGATGCGTGCTTGCAGATTTTTGGAGCCGATTTACATATTTATTAGTATAGAAGCCAAGTTTAAACATGAATGGTAATAGGTCTGACTGACAGGTCCTCGCAAGTAATCCTCCCCACGTGATTGCCTTGTTATTCATTTAAAATGTGGAAACATCAGCATTTCTGCACAAATACTGTATTCATACCAGAATAGAAATATAGCTTTTTTGAACCCAACTTGCATTTTTCTTAAATAATAGTGGAGAATAATGTCATATGTTATAGGCATATAAAACATTTGTGTCCCATGTGAGAAGATTATGTCTTTTTTACATTTAGTTTTGTATTTTAGGACTCCCCAGGTGACTCAGAATGTTCTTTTCTGGTCTTGTATATTCCAACGTTCCTTTTAAATGCTCTCAGATTATGGATAAACTCAGAAAAGCACTTGCTGCTGCACCACTATGACAGTTCTGTTTATTGATGTGCCAGAAAGCAACATGTCAATTTATTGAGTTGTATTTCTTGACCGTTAGCACATTTTTACAAGTGATGAGGATACAATTGGCAATGCAATTATATTATTACCTCAGTTTCCAATCAGGAATATCATTGTTTTTAAATCTTTATCTTTGTTTTAAACCATAGAGTACTATGGGTAAATTCACTTGTCCATACATATATGTCCACTTATTTCCAGGTTCCACTTTTTGGTTCCCGCTAGCTATTCCTCTTAGGGATGTACTTATTTCTAACTAATGAAGCTTTTGTGAGAGTTGATTTTCTACTAATTACTCAGCCTGGCTCAGTGGTAGCATTTCTCTTGGTATCTTTGCTGATAATCCTCTAGTTTAATTGGTCATGCACTTTATAGCTTTGTGAGATTTTGCTGTGGGCAAAATGATAGCTGAGTCCCACAAATAGCTATGAAGTGGACAATTTTTTTCTTTAAGGGGCATTTTTGGCCAAGACATCAGGAAAAACTCCCTTCTCATTTTAGAATTTAGAATGCCATTAGAATTTCTGTGCCATAAATTTCTATCTTCATCTGAACAGACAAGTGGGACCTTGATTCAACATTTCATCCAAAGAAGGGCACTTCTGACAATACAGCGTTTACTGTATTGAAGTATCCTAGACTATAAGCTCAAAGACTTGACATGAGCATGAATCCACAACCTCCCAACACAGGGGTGAGAGTGCTACCAACTAAGCCAGCCTGACACCTTGATATCAAGATATCTTGGATTTATATATTTATTTATAATGTAACATTGAGGTGTCATTAATACTGCACGCTAATGTATCTCAGCAGCAAATTCTACACTGATCCAACTGTCAGGCAGGTAGAAATGATGTCTGTCTTTCTAATGACGTACTTCCAGGAGCAATTAAAATTAGCTGCTTATATGTGTTTACGGCTTTGACATTTTAAAAAAAAGGCATTTGGAGATTGTTCACCACTTGAATTTCACATCCGACTTCATGGAACTGAGGTGTAAAATATTAAATGTTGAGGGCTGAACAGGAAAGCCAAATACATCTGCAAATGAAACTTTGTTAATGCCATCATTCAGTTTCTCCAGCAATCTCAGAAAAGACATGGGCTGCAACAGCTCTAACAGAAATAAATAGAATCAACAGAAAATTCAGCTTTGATGAGGAATCAGTAATATGTTTTAACATCTTGATAATGGACTCATGAAATGCAGTACCTTGGCGAACAGCACCAGCTCTGTGAGAATGCTGAGCTGAGATTTATGAGCATAGGCAACACAATGCTAAATTGCTACACAGTAGTTTATTGTTCTCAAGAGAACAAGTGTATTGTTGAGTAATTTTCAGTGGGAGAGAGCGCAGATCAGGGTCCTGAATCCAGTAGTCACTGGATATGCTGAAGGCTCCAGCAATGTTTGCAGACAGGAAAATCCATCATTAGTTTTCCCAAAGGAGAGTTTCAGTCTCATGTGAAACACTGAAGTCTGGTCACTGTGGTATTCCTGACTGACTAGTGAGTGTTTCAGAACTCCATCTATACTACTGGAATCAAGCCTGAAGATTCTCTGGGAATGTCAGGATTGTGCAGCAAATTATGAAATGTGAAAGCCACATGAATCACAGTAATCCTCTTACTCCATTATCAGTAAATCAACAGTAAAATAGACTAAGGCAATTGCAGCAAGATCTTTTCTTTGTTTCCATTTATTTTATGTTACCTGTCCACTCTGAGGTCATGCCCCGGTACCCTGACCTGGTACATAGGCTGCAACCATTTAGCTGCTCTAGTCCTCTATAACCAGCTACTGGGTGGTGCTACTGCTGAAGCAGCAACCAGATTAATGACCCTCTCATTATCCCTGTGGAAGATTCCCAGTCTCTGCTCAGCTGCTCCTCCTTGGCAGCCGCTCGTAAATCAGAAAATAACCACATGGGAGAGTCACAGGTGCAAGTAAGATGTGGTTGACAGCACTTTTTAACGGTGGAGGGGGAAATGCATAAGATTGCTCACAAAGAGGCAATAATAAAGGGGGCAAAAAATGCAAGGAAAAAAATACCCTTTTGTTAACTCAAAACTACCCTTTCGCATAACAGCCCAAGCTGTTACAATACTGATATCTACCAGAGTCATGATTAGAAGAAATGCTTGGCCTGACATTTTTCCTTCCATTGTTCTCCTCTCTTCCTAAAGGCACTTGCTGAGATATAATAATAATCCTTAATAATCCTTGCATTTGATATGATGCCTTATCACGTTGTTGAGTCATCTGAAAGCGCTTCATAAAATATACTGTGAAGCGAATTTACTGTATATTATGTGGGTGGAACTGCAGCAGCCAATTGCGTACAGCAGTGTCCCACAACCAGTCATGGATTGAGTGGCAAATTTTTTTTAAGGGATTATTTCCCTCGGGAAAGCCGATCTGCCAATCGACTAACAACCAGGTTCCTACGTACTGCTAGGTAAACAGCAGTGAGTGGAGTAAGGAAACTTATAATAATCCTTGAATTTGATATAGCGCTTTTCACATCGTGAGGACGTCCCAAAGCGCTTCACAGAACACAGTGTAAAGTGAATTGACTGTATATTTGTGGGCGAACGCGGCAGCCAATTGCGCACAGCAATGTCCCACAAACAGTTGTAGATTGAGAATGATCAACTTATTATTGTTTTGTTTTGGAGGGATTATTATTAGGCGTGTGGCGTAAGGAAACTTGCCCAAGGTTTCGCCCTGCCTGGAATTGAACTCAGGTCTCTTTCTTGCAAAGCGAGTGCTCTAACTACTGAGCTACAGGACTCCACTTGCCTAAGACCTGCCTGGGAATCAAACCCGGGTCCTCTTGCTTGCACAGTGAGTGTTCTAACTAATACACCATAAGAATCCACTGGTTGTACCTGTCCATACATAGAGCATTAATTACCCCACCTGGGGATTTTGAGTGAGGACTGGAGGATCACAACCGACACTTGATCCTGCCTTCACCCAAGGTCTCCAATCACACATTGTTCAACTTGATGCAACTGAAGAAACAGAAATATTGAGCCAGAACCATGAATTTTCTCCTTCCAAGCCCAGGAACATTGAGAGACAGAGAGAGAAAAGCAAAACAAGAAAAAAGAAAAAGAGAGAAAGGGAATTTATAGTGCCTTATCATGTCAAAACAGTAATTATTTTTGGTATTATTATTAATTTTAATATATTGTGTTTTATTGGCAAACCTGCAACAGCAAACAGTAAGGAGGTGTATCTACAAAATTGTTAGCTAGAATGCTGGGAGAATCCCCTTCTCATTTTGAAAAAAATCCAGATGGGATCTCGGTTTAAAATCTCATCTGAAGAAAGGCATCTTAGACAAGAATATCAATTCCAATCTGCCATAACCTCTGCTCATTGCCGAAGTCTCAAACAGGTTGCCATGACACACATCTGATTACCAGCAGGATTTAATGTTTATGAATCCTTAGTGAATAATGCATGTTTGACCTCAATGTTGATTATAGGCACAAAAGCCATGTATAATAATAATAATATAATAATCCTTGCATTTGACATAGCGTCTTATCACTTCTTTGAAACGTCTTAAAGTGCTTCACAGAATATACTGTAAAGTGAATTGACTGTATATTTTGTGGGTGAAATGCGTAGCGAATCACGTACAACAGTGTTCCACAAACAGTCGTGGATTGAGTGACCAATTTATTATTATTATTTTGAAGCAATTATTACCGCTGGAAAAGCGATCTGCCAATCAACAACAACAACAACAAGATTGTACTTATAGAGAGCCTTTCACGTCGGGAGGACGTCCCAAGGCTCTGGACAGTTGGGTCAGGACCTGAGCAGGGGGGAAATGGTGAGGGGAGGGAAGGGATGGAGCGAGGAGGGGTTAGAGAGTCGAGAGGGGAGGTGAAGGCATGGTTGAAGAGAAAAATCGACTAACAAGTGAGTTCCTACTTGTTGCTCGGTAAGCAGAGGTGTATGGAGTAAGAAAAACTTGCTCAACGTTTATATGACAATGTCCTTGCATATAGGTATATATAATAATCCTTGCATTTGATATCGAGTCTTATCACTTCTTCGAGACATCTCAAAGCGCTTCACAGAATATACTGTAAAGTGAATTGACTGTATATTTTGTGGGCGAAATGCACCAGCCAATTGCAAACAGCAGTGTCCCACAAACAGTTTTGGATTGAGTGATTAATTTATTTTTTTGAGGATTTATTACCTCTGGAAAAGTGATTCGCCAATTGACTAACGACTGTGTTCCTAGTTACTGCTAGGTAAACAGAGGCATATGGAGTAAGGAAACTTACCCAAAGTTTCACCCTGCTGGGATCGAACCCAGGACTCTTGCTTGCGAGGCGATTATGTTATGAAACATGGTAAAGATCCAACTCAGCAAGGGACCAAGGAATAAACCCAAACATACCAGCTTTTATGTCTCTTCGCAATGAGAGACAACAAATACAGATAGCTAATGAACTGAATCGGGATATTTATACTTCATAGTATTTTTTATGTGAAGTGCAGCTTTCATGGATTTGTATAATGTAACATTACAATACAAAATAAAATTGTGAGTGCTACTTCCGAATAGTAATGTATTTTGACAGAAACATTAGTGCATGATTCAAGAACAAATATTATTTTTGGATGAGTGTAATTCCTTACCTAATGTTAAGGGATTTTTTCCTGAGTTCAGTCCAACGAGAATTCATATCATCGAGGCGCCTCTGTAGCAAAATTGCATCTTCCGAGCCCTGCAGACTCTTAAGTATTTTCTGTCCATTTTCATCCAAGTTATGGTAAATGTCAGTGTGAGCTTCAATTTCTGACTGCAGATCCTGTCAAAGAGGACAAACGTACATTTATTTTACATCCACTGACTTGTCAGAAGTGAGATTTGCAGTCAGGGCAATCACTGAGCTGTGCCTGATTTCATACCATACTCAATTCAATAATAAATTGAAAAATTAATTTAACACTAAATGAAACAGAAAGTCATGGCAGGCACCACTGACCTTTATGTAATACGTTTTTCTGTGTAACATTTTAAGAGTAAACTGTGGAAAGGTACAAGAGACCCTGAGGGATCAAAACCAAGCACGGTAACTCGCGAAAGCAGACATTTGTGCACTTGTGCTCAATAACTTCTCAGCAAAAAGGAACCACTTGACAATGTGCATTCGAAGGATACAACAGCATCATTCAGGGTGGTCAATGTGGGAGGCGTTCAGTTACACAACAACTGAATACACCACTCAGAGAAATTGTATCAAATTAAAAAGTAATACTTTCCTAATTCCTTTTGCAATTTTAAGGGACTATGGCATGTGAACATTCCTGAAGCAGATGCCATCGTCCTATTTGCAAACAGCTAACCATAGCACAACACACCAACCCACCTACAGGCTTGAATGGATCCATTGTACAGCACTCAGTAAGCATTTTGATTTTCTGTACATTGCCTGACTGTGCTCTCTTCTTCCTAACCACCCTTCCTAAATCTGTCCTCTTGAAAAATTCAAGTGCATTGAAGCACTGCTATCTCAAACTTTGTGCACATTGTTAATTAACATAGATCAGTTCTCTGTGTGCAGGCCTACACAGATCCCTTGAGAGTTCAAACTATCAGCCTCAAAATAACCTTGCATTTATCTAACTAAAATAATCCATGATTAGTGCAAATGCTCCTTATCAATGCATCCAATGGTAGATTTTTTTTCCAGCAAGCCCTTACTTTCTCCTTTGTAATTCTTTCCTTATTGCTGGTTACTGTTCTGTTCTTTCTATCTACGTGTTTTATAATCACACCAATTAAAATAAATAATTAAAATGCACAGTTGTATAATGATCAGTTCTCTTCATTCTGGCTGCGTGCATCTATTTGCTTAGTCTGTAATAATGTACTGTCTCTCAGATCAAAGTTGTGATGTGCTGTAATACATGGGTGTGTAAAGTTGAGAAAGCATGACCAGTGGGCACTCTTTATATCATGTCATAATGCTAACGTGATAGGGCAGTGCCAGTTAAATTATAGCCCACGAGATCCTTCTGGTCCATGGTCTGTCAAGAAGCTACCTCCCCTCCCTCTTCGAACATTTGCATGAGTCTAGTCCGTAGCGTCCGTAGTGTTTCTGAGTTTTCTAGATTGAATATTTCTTGATTTATGGAATAAAGACTGCTACCACTGTGATAGGGAATGTTCTCCATGTGGGTACAACAGGCTGAAATGGATTTGTTTTGCTTCAAGACAACAAATCTGCTGATTTTTCCTTTTACAAGATTTTCATCCTAGCACCACGGAAGAATCCCAGCCCTTGGTGGCAGCTTTCCAAGGGGGCAACAATGGCACCTAATCCACCCTCTGTACCAGCAGTCAAAATACCTGACTCTGCATGTCCCAACACTGTCAGTCAGGTGGCAGGTTTCACTCCTGCAAACAGTGACTATTGACTAGGGTTGACTGTATATTGTGACAATGTGATAATTATAACCGATGATATTTTAACTGGGAAATAATTGTCACATCACATCACGATAAAGCTCACGCACCCGAGATATATGTAAACTATGCAACATTTTAAAATTCCTTCCAAAATTTCAAGTGGGAAATCATGAATGAGTTGTACACATCTCACTATTTATTTAAGTGGAGTAATATTTACTGTTCATGTAAAGGGACTGCACCCACTATGCATGGTGACCAGAGCACAGTCTTTTGATCTGGCTTCTTATTTAGGAGGTCCGTTGAGCTTAATTTGATTTGAATCAATAACAAGACTATAATAATACTGATTTCTCCGTTGCTACAATGCCACAAGAAAACAGTATTAAGAAAATTGTTTCTTAATTGAACACAAGTCATGTCATTATAGAACATAATGCTTAAGTGCTTAAAAATCAATTCAATGCCATTAGACTCTTTAGTTATATCCGAAGCAATTCCACAGCTTAACATGTTTATGGGGACTGGAGGTGATAATGTTACGGCACAACCTATAGGACAACAAGTCCAGAGCAAAGAAGTGTCAGCTCCAAATGGTGCTTACAATAATTATACCATTCCAATGGAAATAATTCCCCATCCACCTGAGTCAGGCATCTGAATTTTAAAATTATACACGTGTGCTCACAAATACCAGTGCATCATCACACATTCTTTGATCGTTCGAAGAGGAATCAAAAGGTTTTCGCAGAATTATTTTATATCAATTATATTACGAGGACTATGGAATCCTGTAGCTCAGTGGTAGAGCACATGCCTCATAAGCGAAGACATGGGTTTGATTCTCGGTAGGGTGAAACGCTGGGCAAGTTTCGTTACTCCACACAGATTCCTCTGTCTGCCTAGCAATAAGTAGGAACCCGGTTGTCAGTCGATTGGTGGATCACTTTTTGGGGGTAATAATTCCTTAAAAAAATAATAATTTGGTCACTCAATCCACGACTGTTTGTGGGACACTGTGCTCAATTGGCTGCCGTGTTTTGCCTACAAAATATAGAGTCATTCACTTTACAGTATATTCTGTGAAGCACTTTGAGATGTCTCGCAGACATGATGAGGTGCTATATCAAATGCAAGGATTATTATTATCTTTCAACATCATCAAAAAAAAAACAGTTGGATTGGTGACAGAATCTAACACTTCCATATCCTAACCTGTGGCACAGGTGTGACAACATCTTCCAATGTAAACGATTACTTATTGTTGTGAAAATATAATCAGACTCCATTAATGAACTTTCCTGTACTAGTCAGTCTAGCATTGTATACACATTACTGAACCCTCCTGTACCAGTAAGAAACTGGGGGAGCAAATTTGTGGTGTGTGTTGATGAAGGCAAAAAGGCACAAAATCCAACCAACGTGGTAACATTATGTGCAGCTGGTCTATCCAAACCAATTTTTCAGATCGGAAGCTTCATTACAAACTAGTCGATAGGTATTAGACACAAAGCATTGCAAATTCTGCTCTTGTGAGAATTATTATCAGTCCTCCACTGAAGTGTCAAAATAAACTATGAATTGAAGTCCAGAGTTGGATAGGAATCAACAAACCTCTGAAGAGGAAAGAGAGCAAATGGCTCAGGCAAATGGAAAAGGAATAGAGAAGAGGGACAAACAAAAAATCTGTGGCAGTTACATTTTTAATATGATTGTTCATTCCTGCACTATTAAGACTCAAATATTGCTGTATATTATGTTTGCTAATTCACATTTACCATACTTCATAGAAAGATAAACAAACTTAATTCTTAGCCCTTGAATGCATTTCATGTAGGGAGCAGGATAGGGTCACAGGCCATTTATTTTACGATTACTATAAAACAGTTTAAAGTTGTGTATTCTAATCGATGACAACTCTTATCTCTTAAACAAGCACTGGAAAATATTCAAGTTGAGCACTTGCTGTTGAAGGTACAACGCCAGTACATTCTCACGAAGGTTAGATCTAATGAACATACACTACTGTGAAACAAATTGCAACTACCTGTGAAATTTTACTCTGGCAAATAATTGCAATAACTATCAACTATTCCAGAATACATGTACCATATTATTTCTCTGACTAGATTCTATCAAATTGCAAAAATAAATCCCAATAGAATCTAAAAAATGCAAAAATAAATCCCAAAGGTCATATTAAAATGAAGCTACGAATGTCACCAACAGCAGCTCGTCAACATGTTTGAGTTACAATATTTACTTAATTGCTTGATTTACAGAGAATCAATGCCAACTCATGTTTCAGAGCAAAATGTTGACTTGCCTTACGATGCTGCAGAACTCAACACAATAACACAAAAGAACACAAATAAGAAATCCCCCTGCCAAAAATTACACATTATCTCCACAGCAGAAGACAACCATCACCGAGGACAACAACCGGAAAATACCATGCTGAAGGCAGGAGGTACCTAGGGACATTAACCTTTGCTAAAACACAGGCGCAACTTTCACAGATAGATGCCCCAAGCCTATTCAGTTTGCTTTGTACAGGAACAGAAGCAGAATACAAAGCATACAAAAGGGAAGCAGCAACAAAAAACATTACCAAAAAATCTTAATGTTAATCCCAGACAGAATCCAAATAAGTTCAAAGTAAAAATCAAGCAAAGAGATCAAAGAAAACTGCAGTAGCAGTAAACAATTTTCAGTTGCAGGTTCATAAGTGGAAATAGAAAAAGGATTAAATTAGGATTTTTAGTACATTTTATCTAAAAATAAATTATTGTGTTGAGATTATAAATAATGTAAAGCATGGGAAAGCGGAGCACCAGTAGAACAGAATAGAAAGATGCCAGTGCCTTCCTCCCTCTAAATTTGCTAAATATCATGACTCCAGCCTTGTCATATGAGAGGCAAGACATTAAGCAGAAGGTATGCATCTCCCAAAGGCATTGGCAGGCTGCTTTCAGCTATTTCTGAGGCCCCAGGATAAATGGAAACCTGGGAACAGGTAACACAGAACCTCTGATTCAGCTGTTGTGTTGGTGGGTAAAACCAGAGCCAGAAAAGAATACTACAATACTACTGCTGTACAAAAAAAAGGGATTCAATACGTACATACCCTATATACAGACAACATATAAAAACAAGCTTGGGGAGCGAGCAGAAGAATGGTGTTAGATTAGATGGCTAATGTGGAAACAAGCACAAGTGCAGCCTTGATGGACTGAATGATCCGTTTCTGAGATCTAGCATTCCATAGCTTTATTCCATCTTCTTCTTAAAATCTATTACATCCATCATTTGTTCTGGTTTATCTTTCATGGAATCTTGTTATGACCACTATATTTGTGCGGTTTGTTTTGCTGTTCATATATTGTTTGAGCAGCA